GAAGAGATAAATATTTTCAGACCAGTCTATACTGTGTGAATGTTGTGCTCGTTTCAATCTAATGTGGTACTAATGCTAAAACAAAAAGCTTTGAAAATGTTCTTTTCAAATTTTTTTTGGTTTTCACATTAAATATTTAATGAGCCTCAAACTGTGCGCTGTAAAACAATGCAGCATTTTAGATGTTGAACTAGAGACAACGAGATGCTGCTTAGACCCATTAGAAACAGAGAAATAGCCCTTTTGCTAACCCTTAAAGCAACCTTTGACCAAAATGCTAACGTTAGCATGGCTAGCGGTTAGCTGTTACCCCGTTTTGGTATTCTTATGTTACTTTAAAGTCACTTATATCTTTTCTGTCACTATTTCTTAGTTATATTGTTTGTGTCTACAATGAAGTCTAAACCACCGCTGTCACATGAACAAACTGGAGCCGTAGGGTTTAATTTAGGTTAGCTAAACGCTAGCTTATGGGTTCCAGCAGAGCTGCCGTTTGTTCTCTCACACTGAATAATGCAGACATTCCCATGAAGACGGTGAAAAACAAAAATCCCTTCTGACTGAGAAGCTCAAAGGAGTTTTTATGTTTTGAAACCAGTGGATGAAAGCTCTATAAATATAGTTTTATATAGCTTATCCCAACTACAACTAGCACTCCTTTAAATAGAAAAAAATAAACAAAAACAAACTATAATTGAGTTTTCCAATTTGTCATTTTGGCAAAATGACTAATTTTAAATGCATTTTTGTGTTATTTACTCATTGTGGCATCCAATGTTTTATAGACAATGGCGTTTCTGATTGATAGCTGCATTTCCATTCACCATAAAATTCACTTAATCACAGGGCAATTTCAGAAAAATAAATAAATAAAAACATCTTGTTTGTCGATAGAAAGTTTTGGTGCTAGGATGAACCAGACATTGCCACCGTCATAAACCACAAAGAAGATGACAACAGAAAGTAGCTAAAAGATCGTGACATGTTTTTTAATAACTTATCATGTGAACAAACTTATTCATGCGTGATTTTAATTGTGTTTCTTATTTATTGGAAACACCGCAATTGCAAAATTGCATTTTTTTCCCCGACATTAGTGGAATGTTGACAAAGTTTGGCGTACATTTGCAAAGGAAACGCATCTAAAGTCATAGCATTGGTTGAATAAAGTCATGTGGAAGGATGATGTTTAATGATAAAGAAATGGAGTAAGGAAAAGCTGAAATAAAAAAAATAAATAAGTAAAATGTGTTCCAGAAAACACCAGATCACTTTGAACCCACCAACCACACGGTGGTGGTGGCAGCATCATGCTTTGGGATATACCAGCAGGTGAACACACAATATTCTGGGGCTCAGCTCTTTCGACACAAATGCAAAAAAAAAAAAAAAAAAGTAAAGCTAATTAAACCAAAACATCAGAAAGTTTTCTTCTTCTTCACACAGAGGTAATTTATTAATTAATCGCCTCCTATGAGTCACATGCTTTTAAAAGCCAGCAGGTAATCACTGACTAACACAGACCTGTGTCTGGAAATTAAATAAGGACTCTTTAGTCACACACACACTCACTTGTACCTTGTGAAAACAATTCCAGTCTTGGCTTTATCTTGTGTGTGTGTGTGTGTGTGTGTGTGTGTGTGTGTGTGTGTGTGTGTGTGTGTGCTCGTGTCGGCTTCGCGCTCGCTGGAAGACGGAGGTGCGAACTCGCCCTGCACCTGTTCCCCCCGGCTGAGTCGGGTTACCTCCCCTCTCCGTCCGCGTGTCGCTCCATCCACTCACTCACTTACTCTTTTAAATAAAAGATACAGACACTGCTGTTACTTAACACTCACGAGGACGCTGTCAAGCTACACCTGTTTATTGTGCTGACAGATGTGTGTGTGTGTGTGTGCGTGTGTAGGTGGGCGTGTGCGTGAATGTGGGGGGCCGATGTTCCAGCACTTAATAAAATGAATATAACCTCACATTACCATTTTCATTAAGGGTAATTAAATCCTTCAATTAAAACAGCTCTCTCTGAAAGACGCCGACACACACACACACACGCACACACACACATGTTTACAGCCGGCCTACACATGCACTTAAAGCTAAGTCAGTGTGAGCTTGCTTTCATTTGAGGCGGCCGACTGGCTGTTTAAATCCCCACGGTAACCAAAGCCGAGAGGACGGCCAACACCTGCCGCACGCCTGTTTAACAAACCGATCCAGCTGGAGAACCGGGGTCAACCTGAGCTTCACACACCGTTCCGAGACATAATGTGTGTGTAGGTGTGTGTCTGTGTGTGTGTCAGAATTCAAAAACTTTCCATGTTTAAAATGAGAGAGCTTCTTTTTACTTAAAAGTTTAAAGAGAAATCAGTAACAAATATTACATTTTGTCAGGGGCCGTCATCAAAATCATCAATACGCATCAAATATGTTGATCAACGTTCCATTTATTATGAGTCCAACTCTAAACAGCTGGGTTTTTAATCTAGATTTAAAGGGTCTCAGTGTTTCGGCTGTTTTGCAGTTTTCTGGAAGTTTGTTCCAGATTTGTGGAGCATAGAAGCTGAATGCTGCCTTTCTGTGTTTGGTTCTGGTTCTGGGGATGCAGAGTCAACCAGAACCAGAAGACCTGAAAGGCCTGGAAGGTTGCTATGACGACAGCTGATCTTTAATTTATTATGGTGCCAAGCCGCTAAGTGATTTATAAACGACAGTAAATATTTTAAAGTCTATCCTTTGAGCTGTCAGTGGAAGAACGTAAGAATCATTGGAAGAAATGGAGGAACGAATGCAGAGATTAACAGATGGATGGTTGAACGGATGGTTGAATATCCAATGACAATCAGATGGATGATCAGTAGATGGATGGATGCAAAACAAGGAAGGATGAGAAAATGAAATAAAAAAATAAAAAAATCAGACCTTTCCCATAGCATGATGCTGCCTAAATATGTCACATAAAGCACAGCTAAACCAGCCTTCCAGGATCGGTAAAAAGCTTCACGCAGCGTCAACATGATTCCTCCGAAGTGAGGCACAAACACTCTAAAAAACAAACGCCTGTGCAAAAGTCAGACAACTCCAGACGGATTAAAGCGTGTGTGAAGCAGCGGTAACATAGGTAAGTGTGCGCGCGTGCACACACACACACACACACACACACACACACACACACACACACACACACACACGGCCATATGGTGCGTGCGGCGCAGGCAGGCAGGCGGTGGGCGGTCGGTCGGTCACAAAGAGGGGGTGTGGAGGTTTAGGACCCGGCTGTGGCCTTTAAGCCACTTGGGGTTAACAGGATTAGGAGGCGGGGTTACTAAAGGCCACGCCGCTGGCTGGGACACGGCCGCCTTCTGGATGTTTGGAAACACGCAGTCGGAGGTGAAACGAGCCGCGACCGGAGTGAGAACTCGCCAGCGTTTGTGGGCATGCGTCCATCGTGCTGCGACGGCTAATCTGGGCCAGCGCCCAAGCGCTGCGGAGAACAGGGGGGCAGCGGAGGACAAGAACTGGGAGAGCGCAGCTAAAGTTTCTGAGCTGCAGGTGTGCAGAGAGGATGGATGGTAGAGCATTATTCTACGACACAGAACCTCCATCTGCATAAAGTCAAATCTGTCCACCTCATCTCACCTAAAACGTCCTGTCGTACCGTCATCCTTCCCCGTCTGAAAACTGTGTAGAAGAGGCTGCTACAAAATTAGTTTACTTATTCTAAAATGTTCATAATATACCTTTTTGATAACTATTTATTCGACAAGGAGGCAGGCAGAAGTGTAAACTTATTTAGTCATGCTCCCCCTTCTCATACTTTTATACATTATTCTTAATTTAAAGCTGCAGTACGTAAATTTTAGGAAATATAATTTTTATTACATTTGGTAACACTGTCACTGTGTCGTGACAGTTTATGAAACAGATAATCCGTGAAAACATTCATTTCTTCCACATCTGCTATTGCCGTCTGAAGAAGTCCACCACTCCCTGTCAAAAACAACCAATCAGAGCCAGGAGGAGGAGCTTAGCGCTGCCAATCAACCCTGCAAATGCGCTGCTAAATGTGCCAATGGTGGAGAAACATTTGACCTTCACAGGAAAACGTTTCGTCCGCAGTCATTGGCGGCCATGCTAGCTAGCATGATGCATTCACCCAACATGTTCCAACGTGTCCGTTGTCGGCTTATCGGCACACACAGCATGATAAACGGACGTCAAAATGGTTCAGTTTTTGTCTCATCTGACCACACAGCCCAGTCCTCCCAACACGTCACTCCTTTCTTCCTGCTACTCTTCTATAAAAAGCCACAATTACGAAGTGCAAGACGATAGGTTGGATTATGTTTGATGCGTCCACGAAGTCATATTCCACCATTTCAGCAACCACGTTCCTCTGCATGAATCTGAAACTACGCGGACAGGAAAAACATGGTGGATGAGCAAGAACTTCTTTCCACCCACCAGGTGCACAGCAGTCAGACCACTGTTTGACTTTTGTCACTATATTTTACAGCTTTTCTGACTAAAACAAAAACAAACACACACACACACACAAAAAAAAACTGAATTGACCAAAGTCAAAATTGGCAGGTAAATTTTTCTAAATATCAGTCAGAAAACTGGAATCGGTGCATCCCTATTGGTTTGTAGTCGTGACAAATGAGTTTCAATTTGCAGTGGGTTTTGTTTCTGTAAAATACACCAAAGTTTGTGGTTCTAATGTGGAAAAAAAAAAAAAAAAAAAAAAAAAAAGAGAAGAAAACGTGAAGCCACAGGAATACTTTTACAAGCATCTCTGTATGAAAAGGAGAGCCAGAAACAAACACGCATTTTCACAATAAAACAGTCTCACAGAGACTCTTTAGGCGTTTAATAAGGAGCCTGAAACTCAGTTTGTGAAACAGAGACTGATCATTAAGATTCTCGGCTGTGGAGGAGAAAACACACACACGCACACACGCATACACTCTACTCAATGCACAAGCTGGCAGACAGAAACTTACGTTTGAGGAAACGGTTACGGACCCACTTATTCTGTTTGCGGGCGTAGCGCTTTGTGGCGATCTTCAAAGCTTCTACGCCTGAAGAAGAGTTGAAAGAGGGAAAAGATGAAGCAGAAACAGAGAACGGTCAACCAGACCACAAACCTAGCGAGTGTGAAGTCGGGTATTTCTCTGACCTTTGTCTCTCAGCTTGTCTCTCTCCTGCTGGCTGCTGCTCTCCGGAGCCGTCAGGTAGTCGTGGAACTCCTTAAAGCCGATCGACTGGAAAATCCCGTGTTGATAGTCTTGGCTGCGGGGAGCAGAGGAAACACGACCCGTCGATATGTAAACTTTCCTTGTTTGATGTGACATTTATGGCGCCGGTGATTCAGATTTCATTTTCCTTCCCCTCCATCTCTCCTTCCAGCCCCACATGCAGATGTAAAAACCCTTCCAGAAATAGAGTGACTGGCAAAACAAACAAACACAAAAAAAAAAAAATCATCTGAACGTAGACGACATGAGGACCCACAGGTGGTAAAACTCAGCAGGCTACTCTCCCAGCAATAAATACACAGCTTGTTTGCAGACACTAAATGCTGAGCAGAAAAGTAGAAATTGGTTGTGATAAGATCTGAGGAATCCAGAGGGAAGTTTGTAGCAGCTCATAAGTCTGGTAAAAAGTTCTCAAAAGAATTGAAAATCAGAAATTTCACTCTAGGATTGGAAATTAGGGGGATAACATGTTCAACCCAAGTTATTTTACCTTGAGCGCAAGCCGCAAGATGCTGAAAGAAGTGGCAGTTGCTCTTAGATAATGTGATAATATTATCACATTTTCTATACAGCAGTACAGATAATAAAATATGTTCATAATACTATAACACCCAGTTGGTGGACGTAGTTATGCTAATGAGCTAATAATGGAGCTAATTTCCGCTTAGCGCTATTGCTAACTTTGAAAACATTTAGCACACTTAGCTTCCCCTGAACTGTTTTTCCAGGTAACTTCTAAAGGAGCTAACTTACTTGAATGTGTTGTAAACTTTCAAACGAATAAAGTTTGACATCTGTGTTCAAGTTTTGATTATTGAGTTATGAAAGTAGCTGGAGGCTTATATTCATGCTTTTACTTTGAAGTTCTGCGTCCTCTTCTCTCATTTTCTCTCTTTTTGTTTTTCCCAGTAACTTCATCTCAAACAAACAAAGTAAAACACAGGCAGCGGAGCTGAGCTGAAGTTAGCGCTTTAGCATTAGCTTCTGTCAAATATTGTGTTATTACAGTGCTTTAGCGTTAGCAGAGCTAACATTCATGGTTGGTGGGTTTGCTCTACTACCTTTCTACTGCTGCAGTAAACATATTGTAGTGTAGTTTAATATCTAACATCAAACTATATGAGCCAGTGTTATGACGAGACACGCCCACTGATCTTTCTTCAAATTACTTTTTGAGTTTTTCTTTATTAAAGAAACGGATAAATACATGCTGCCGGATTCATTACAAATCGCTTTTTGTGTTTGTAGGTTTTTATTGGACTGAAGCGTCAAACTGGAGTAGTGAAAAGAAAAGCGCCATTTTCAATCAACTATTATTGCTAAAAAGAAAAAGAAAAAAAAAGTGTTGCGTCTCAGGTACCCGATCCGTAAATCCACACACTCGGAAGAGGAACAAGGAGAAGGAAAAAATAAAACTGGCCAGACGGGAAGAGGCAGAAACTGGAGAACAAGATCCAGAAGACAGGAAATGAGGGAGGAAGAGAAAAGAGGGAATGAAGGAAGGAGAGATCTGACCTTGATGTCTGGTCACATCAACCAGCAAGGGAAGGTAGGAGAGAGAGACAGAGAGAGAGAGAGAGAGCGGCAGAGCGAGACGCGAATGGGGCGTAAAGTGAACGGATGATCAGATTGCCGTGAAGGCAAAGGATGACGAGGAGCAGACGGTGGGATGCGATGAAGAGGGAACGGGGGGCACAGAAGAGAGAAACCAGCAGCATCCTCGGCATCCGACTCTCAGTAACACCATTTCCCACACGATGAAGTTATTACTGAAGCCCACAAAGGGGCGTGACCAAACTTCACTCAGAACAAACAAAACTAACGTTTTCTGATGTGTGACTGCGTGATGCTAAGCGCTAACAGGCTGATCAGAACACCGCTTTACTGCGGACGGTAATTTAGGAATCAGTGTGGAGGAAGTATCTGGAATCTACTTAAAGATTCTTTACTGAAGCTGCAAAAGAACGAGAGAGAGCAAGACTTTCAACAGATAACAGAAAGGTTTATATGTTGCAGCAAAGTCGCTCTATGTATCCTTTTGAGTTTTTAACCTCAGTTTGCTATGAGTCTACATTTTTTTGGAAATGACCACGGAGACTGCTGTTTTAGTTATGCTAGCCATGCTAATCGCTAACAAAAGATGCAAGAGACAGCTAAAAAATTAAATCATTTAATCTAGCTGCAAGGTTTTTTTATAAACCTTAATATGACCCTGTTTATGGCGCTCTACTCCACCCACACAGTCTGATGGCTCCTCTGCTCCTAATATAAATAATTAATGACTGCTCAGGGCAGAAAGGCCAGGGAAAATATATACGTCTTCCTTACCAAAACTGGAGATTCGAAATCGGACATGTAAATCTAATGTGCGCGACTCTAAAAAAAGAAAGCGGAACTCAGAAATGTCAAGATGGAAGGGTACCAGACGGAGAGGAAAAGCTTGCAGCTAGAAATAAAAATAACCCTTCCTGGATCAATTTCTGGAGAGCGGGAAAGTCAATCCAGACGTTTTCCGTCGTGCCTCCAACTTTGGAATTCAAGGACGATTGCCGGGATTCTTCTTCTGTTACTACTGTCCTCTTATCAAAACAAAGAAATGTAGAAAATTAAAATGGCTCTTCACTGACATGAGACAACGAAAGCCAAGTGATTGCACTACGCCTCAAGGGAACGTCTTTCTCAGGTATGTGGATTATCAGAAGGAAAAAAGGAAGGCGTTCCGTCATCGACACCAAACCGAATGCTGCGCCGAACATCTGAAGGATGCTGGAAAGCCGGCGAGAAAGTGAGACAATCCCGATGAATCCAGACGACGTCTTGCGACCTTTCATAGTTTAGTCACGCCTCACACGGATGATGACTGATCAACAGTGGCAGCCTTGGGAGCAGTCAGAGGGAGCTGCCTACGAGTCGACTCCGAAGGTCACTTGCTTGCTTTGAAGAACATACAAGAGATACGCCGTCCTCTTTACTCTGACGCCCCTGAATAAACAACATCACAGCCTCCAAATCTGTGGGAAGAACGGATCTTCAATCGGAGAACACATTCCTTTAGGGAATAAACTCTGATCAAAGATCTTCTTAATAGGTAGCAACTTGACACAGAAAGGGAGGGACTCGTCAACGGGGCTCGGGGCCGTCTGGGCCGTCTCTATATAGGTCTGCAGGCCACTGGGAGCCGACAGCGCGCAGCAAGAGTGGCCCGTCAGACTGCGATGGGGGAGATAAATAACTGGACTGTCGCTTGGCAGAGGCCACTTCCCTCCCATTGCCCTGGTTACGCAGAGGAATCGAGAGCGGCAATCTCCGAATCAGATGGGGCGCATGGGGAAATAAAGCCGTACTCATCCGATTCCTCTCACTCGCTTAGCAGCATCAGTAAATCTAGGGCTGTAGTGATACAGTAATCTTATGATACGATACGATACGATACATGATATTCTGTCCACGATACGATATATATTGCAATATTCGTCAAACGATACAATTCAATACACTTTTGCGATTTTCTGAAAGATTTTAGAGGGACAGAGTGATTTTGGTGACATTTTGTGACTGTTATAGAGTTGGATTGAATTAATTTAACTGAAAACTGATTAAAACACCAACCTGGCTCTGGTTGGACATGGACACAGACTTAAAGTCGACAGCTGGACAAAAAGAATCAAAGAAGTGGTGAGAAAACATGTTTCTTTTAATTGAAACAGTACAAATTGTAGCTTACGTGGATTTATAAAGTAAATAAAGTGCACCAAGCACCCTGCTCTGAATAGTTTGATACCTTTTTAACCTCGACACTTAACATCTGAAGGAATCACTCTAAGCCTGATGACCTAATTACTCTCCCGGCAAAGCAAGCAGTGAGTGAGCAAGATGACAGTTGGATGTTACGATATTTGCAGATGAATATCGATTTTTTTTCTAGGAAAGAAAATATCGATATATATCGCGATATCAATATTATCCTACAGCCCTAAGTAAATCAGATCTTCAGCAGATGCTGGAGGTCTGATGGTAGGAGTTTTTAGTTTATGAAGCAAAGAAATGCCACAAAACCAACCCGTATCTCAAACACGTTGCTTCTGTTTGAGGTAAAGAAGAAGCAACGTTCCCAGTGGGTGCTAAAGCAACACACTGGCAACTTTCCTCTCAAAGTGTGTTTATAGGTTTTGGGGGAGTGCTGAGGGACGATGTAGAGAGAGAGCCTTTTATGGTTCCAGCAGGAGACGTCGGAGAAATTGTTTTTTCCTGATGTCGTCAGAGTCTCCTTTGGTTGCGAGCGGAGCGCTTTTTAAGAAACTTAAAAACCTCTGGATTATAAGCTTTACCCACATCTCTAGGCTTCATGTTGAGCGTAACTGAGGAAGGGAACGCGCAACTAAGTCTCAATATGGGCGACGAGAAATTGAGTTGCATTAATGAACTCCTCACCTCTCGTCCTGGAGTTTCTGTCGGTTGTATCGGAGATGGAAATCCTGGAGTTCATTCAACAGGCCTGTAGCCAGCATCTCATCTACACGGGCATCCAAGCGCTGGTCCAGAGCTAAAAGACAAACCAGGTCCAATACGTGTTTGTTTGTCCTCATGTCTACGAATATGGTGCCTCGCAAAAGTTTTCATCCCACATGTTGCCAATCTCAAAATTCTACGCATCTTGTTGGGACTTTATGCGTCAGAGTAAACTCTTCAAGCATGGAAATGTATTCAACGTTAACTGAAAAGTGTGGTGTGCATGTGTCTTTGACTCCCTCAAGTGAAGACTTCGTAGAACCAGTTATTGTTTTAATAAGAGCTGAAACTCTATCGATGTCAATTATTTTGTTGGAGAAGTTGTGATAAAGTCAGCTAAGCTAGCAAGAGTGGTTGATGATTGTTAGCCGTGTAAGTCTGTTAATCAATCCTCTCTCACGGTTGAGCAAAAGCGGACAGTCGCCGATAAGATCAGTGGATAAAATCGGTTTCTCATGCAAATATCGGCAGATCCCCAATCTCTCAAAATATCGGAAATCGGGCCCAATTTATCAATCGGTGCATTCTTAAAGCTAATGAAATACTTTGTATCTAAAAGACAGGATTTTTCTCAAGGAAATGGCTCAAACTTAGTCAGATTGGATGTGGACTGTCTGAACATCAATTCCTTAATTTTGCTACAGATTCTCAAATAGATTTAGACTTTGACTAGGCCACTCTAGCATATTAACTTGCAGTGTGCTAAACCATTCGACTGGAGCTCTTTAGGGTTCTGATCCTGCTAGAAAGTGAAATTCCATCCCAATCTTAAGTCTTTGGCATCTTGTGACAGATTTTCTTCCAGGACGACCCTGAATTTAGCTCCATCCACCTCAGCATGATGCTGCCAATTTCACATTTCCAACAGGTGTTAGCATGTTCAGGCTAATGCAGCGTTAGCTTGTGTAGCATTTTACACATTGGCCTAAAAGTTTAACTTCGTATCACTGTTTTCCGTACTTTTTATAGCACTGATTCAACGATGGCTTTCTTCTCGTCACTCAGAGTAAAAGGGGTGAAAGAAAATGCACGACACACTTTTAAGATTTTTATTCAGAATTTAAAATATATGAATATATAGTTATAATTCTTCTTCTATAAAATTTGAGCTTGGAACATGCTAAAAATTAAAGGAAATGATATAGAAGAAGATGATTCTGCCGTCCTCACCCTCCATGTCTGCGTGCAGCCAGAAGATGCAGGGGTCGGGGAACCTCAGGGGCCCTCCGAGGCCGTCGCCGCCCTGCCTCTGCTCCTCCAGCCAGCGGCTGTGAGGAACACCCGTGTCGTTGTGAATCTGAAGACTTCTGCAAACAAAAGCAGGGAAAGAGGGTACGCTCTCACTCCGTGAAGTCAGATTCCTTTTTCCCGCATCCAAAGTCTCTCTGGGTAAAACCGAGATTAGCTGAGTTAACCGCCCACTCATCCACTAAATCCACTGCAAATTAAAACCCCCAGCTCCCTTTTCTGAGAAACTAATTAATCACGCGGGTTAACTTGTTGTGAACGCTGACGACGACGACTGCTGGGTAACGCTCCCCAAGGACGCGTGAAGAGATAAATAACATGATCCCACAAAGAAACGAATCTGAATGCAAAGCGCATCTTTTTTAGTTACGCCCGGCTGGACACCGAGGCTGGGAGGAAAAGATGACGCCTGTCAGCTCCAGTCTGAATAAAGAACAGGGTAACCTAACCTGCTCACATAAAACACCGCTGCTCCTGCTGCTACCCATCAAGCTGCGCTCACAAGAGGAAACCGGCGTGCAGCTGTCAGGAGGAGAGGGCCTCTCTTCAGGCTAAACCCAGAGAAAAAAACCTAACGGGAAGCAGAGCTGGTCCGGGGAACAAATGGTATAATTCAAGCTACGATATGAAAAAACAAAGACCAGCCTGGTGTGAAGCAAAGGGAAAATGATTTGTGCAGGTTTTTCTGTTTTGTTTCTTCCAAACTGGTTTCTCTTGTACATGAGAAGATGGATCTCAATGGGATAACCTGTATAAATAAATGTTAAATTTTTTTTAAAAGCATTTTTGCTTTCAAATGGTGAATAATGTCTGTAATATTCCAAGATAAACTTTAAAAATTACCAACCCCCCCAAAAAAAACTTCTTTTTGTTAATCCTAACTAGCTTAAAACAGGAAAAGTTTAGTCTGATTAAATGTACGACAGGCAGCAATAAAACTGTTACTTCTCATTCTATATAGTGCGTTTAAATATGTTTCAGCTGCAAATGTAGAAAAAAAAAACTTGCCTGATAAGACAAGTTAACTTTTTTGTAAAAAATGAAAACAAAAACAAGTCGCTGCTTTTGAAAGACAAAAAACGCATTTGCTGATGATGTCACTCCTCCGGAAAAAGTAGATCTAACTGTAAAATCAGGGTCATGTTTCTGCTTATGACCTTCATATTGGGTCCCTATATAGTCACTGATTAAAACTTAATGACTTTGTCACTATATTCACCAATTTCCAGAGTCTCCCTCTCTCTTTCTCTGGTGGGGATATTGTGAATGAAGGGAATATATGCTATGTTAGAGACCTAATTTTATGAATTACAAATATGAATCTGCAGCATTAGGTGATTCAGAAAAACAGTTCTAATTACTGTGCTGTTTTACCTCAAAACATGTGTCGCCTAAAAATATCCCACTAAACTGCAAGATATTACTCGCAAATGTGAGTTTAATTAACTCCTTTTACTGTGTAGCTGAATTATTTCTAACTACTTTGTTTTTCTTCTAGCAAGTATATGATTCCTGTTATTTCCCCGTTGCGCCGATGGCTTTCAGCGGCAACAACTTTATGCTTTGTAATGAAAAAAGAAGTAGCTTCTAGATGTAATAAAGCAATCCGTCAGCTTTTGCTATAAGTTATGGATTATGAGTTTGGGGCTGCAGACACGGCACACCAAGTCAAAACAGGATATTGTTTAACTCCGTCATAATGGAAAATAGTCTCTGAATAAACAAGAAGCTATTCGACTAGATTTACCTCTGACTAAAACAGCAGCAAAGATTCATGTATAACACCACGGTTAGCAGAAATTATATTAAAATTTACTACCAATTACTGTTAGGTTATAAAGACCAACTTCTTTCACAATGCAGATTAAGTTTGTTTTTACTTGTACAATGCTGAAAATGTATGCTAACCCGCTACAGCGAACAGCAAAATGTTGAAAGTAAGTGGAGACATAGACTTGAACCTCTTTCTAACAGTCGCTAAAAATTAAATTAAAATTAAACAAGTGTATAGTTTTGGAAAGATGTACCTCTTTGTTTCTAATGTCGATTAAAGTTAAAGAAAACTTCATGCTGTGAAATTTTTATATCAGAATAGCTTATTGAAAAATAAGAACATAGCACTAAGCTAACACTTTTGTACACGTCCGCTTTTGTTAGCATCTAACCTACTAGCTTAAGTTAGCATCTAGCACAGCTGCTAAAAATACAGAGAAATAACTACCATATCATGGAGTATGTTTTCACACATTCCCAACCCATTATATGTCTCATTATATGCTATGCTTTGCTCATAGTAGCACTATTTTGCTGTGTTTACTAAATGATAAAGAACTAGCTAAGGAAACTGTACTAGCAATCATCATTTCGTCCCCAACCACATTCAATTCAAACAATCCGTTTCTTGCCCATACGTGTAAACCAAAGTGTATTAGTTTATTTTTATTTATAGTTTGGCATTTCCAAAAGATGCATGGATCTATCGAACTGGGATTGGTATCTGCTAATTTTTCCTTGATGGGATCTGATCCAGGCCAAATACAGGAACGTAATACTTTTACACATGCTTTCATCGCAGAAATAGAGATAATAAGATTGTCATTATTTTTAATTAGGATTCCAAACAATAACCTCAATTATGGAATACTAAACAAATCTTTACTCTTATGTATAATAACCTACAATTAAACTAAACTAAAAACCATAAAAATTGGTTAAAAACGGAACCAGCAGGTCAGACCTCAGAGAAAACCACAAACTAGGATTGACCAAAAGGGAAAAAAAATTATGGTCCATTTTTCTCGTTCCTCCAATATTTTCATGAAATATGGAGAAAAACAATCATAAGACTGTTTAATCGTCTCAGACGATTTAGTCTGATCGTACATTATTTGTTAAAGCTTTGCATTACATCCCATTTATTTTGGCTCCGATCCGACTTTGGGCTGCTGTGACTCCCATATTCAACAGAATATGACTGGATCAAAACCAACTCGAAGCCAATTAACAACCCAACAGAGCACCAACAATATGACCACACATTGTTAATAAAAGACAACATTTAAACCGTGACATATGGAGCTGATGACATGACCAGCTGCCTCACCTGGCTACCTTGCGCTTGTCATTTGGGTGCAGCATGGAGGCCATTTTGGGGTCCACCTCAGCCAGCCTTTTATGCAGCTCCTCTCCTCCCAGTTTCTCCAGCTCCATCTTCCTGCTTTGGCCTCCGTCTGCTCCGTCCCCTGAGTCCTCATTCTCCTGCTGCGAGGCACGTTCGCGTCACATATCTTCAATTATTCAAGACTTTTTAACTCAGATTTAGCCGAATGTACAAAAACCACAAAGTATGGCATCATTAGCATAATAAAAAAAACAATGATTCCAAACATAAGCTAACTAGACGTTACATTGTCCATCGCCAAATCTAAACCTTTGACTTAACATAAAGAGAAGTGAGGAGGATGATAACTCATGAACTCGCTCACCTCCGTGTCCAGCAGGACTTTCCACAGCAGAGACTCGATGTAATAGTTTGTTCCTCCAACAACGATGGGCAGCTTGTTTCTGCTGTGCATGTCGCCGACGTTGGAGTGCGTTAAGGAGGATGTCGAAACCTCTGAGGATGCATTGCGTTTTGTTGAAAAAAAAATTAAAAATTCCACCCTTTGTATAAATTTTAGTTACTGAAGTAAGTTAAAGGGAGTGTTGGCAACTTATTGGGTAAAACTACCCACTAGCTTAGGGGTGCGACAATTAATGTCCTCATATTCATGTGAGATGCGATTGGCCATCTTTTGCAGCAAAAGTCTGAAAATCAGCTACTGCCCCATTATCCTACCTGCACACATCTGAATGCAAGCAGTTAATGATAATCAGCCGATTGTTGCCAACTTAGCAACTTTGTTGGTATAACTTAGCAACTTTCAGTCAAATAAATTGGTATCGGCCAAAATCGGACTTGTTAGAAAAGACTTTTTAAACATCCATGAACGGCTTAGAAAAGAGTCGGTGCATCCCTATAAAGAGAGATAATTGATGTTTGTGTTTGACTATCATCTCATGATTCTTCACTTTGAATACTCACTTCAGTTCAAACGAATGAGCAGCAGCAGAAGCAGAGAAACTGGAGGACGTGAGCTGTTTGGTGTCACAGACAGAAGCGCCACACCTTATTTCCTCTGTCGCATCTTCTTTCATCCTAAGCCTCCTCCTCCCCCGCCTCTTACTGTGGGCTAATCAAATAACCCCTCAAACCAGATAAAAGCCCATCAGGCATCATCACTCGCCTGTTGTCCACTTACAGGCCTGCCTCTCTGCGAAGAAGAGCGGAGGAAGGTTATTGACAAGCAGCAGAAATCAAGAGGATGAGAAGCCACAGGGGGAGGGGTTTATGCGAGTGGCGTGTTTAGTGGTGGGTGGAGGGGGGAAATGATGCGACATCAGATCCTGCGTCCTTAAACTTAAAGTCACACTGACTCCCTGTTTCTCTCCTTTTCCTCCTAATCTGTATTCAGCTCTTCCTCTTCGCCACCAGCAGGTTCCTGCTGCACCGATCCTATTCTTGGAGCTCCCGCATCCCCTCAAAGTGTGTGTGTAGGAATAAAAAACGGGAGACAAGCATGTGTGTGTGTGCCGATCTATTAATACCTCCCTCTCCCTCTCTCTTTCTAGTTATCGCCTCCTCTCTGCACATCAGTGTGATGTGGCCGGCGTCTGCGGGGCGTGACCGGCCAGAGCCGGCGCCTGTTAGCGTGCGTGTTTGTCAAGACACACCGCAGACGCGCTCCGCTATAAATATCAACTCTAGTGATCTCCTGCTTCGCGTTCTTCCAAGAAAACATCTGCAAGAGGCAAGAATCAGGACACAGCGTCAACAGAGCTGCTGCGTTCCAGCCAATTAGTACGTTAGACCTGCCAAGTTTCCCGCCAAATAATCTGCTGTGTGGCGGGTTGATGGCGCGGCGTGGAATCAGGTGGAAGAAAAAAACAAAACAAAACATTGTCTTGGTTATTGAATTTGCAGAGTTTAGGATATGAGCTCCAGCGCTTTGTTCCTGAAGTCCACCACCGTGTAGGTCCGCACCAACGGGTCCACGAAGTCCAACATGTGGTGTGCGCACTGGGCGCGCTCCTCGGCAGTCACCTTATTTGTGATTATGTCCAGACCCTTGTACACCTGCAAGGGACAGAAATGAGTAGATAATAAAATACGGAGTAGTTGGTCTGACTCTCTATTTTGCTTTATGGTCTGATTCCAGTTCTGTTCCTTTAGACAACGTTTGGGGTCGGGCATTGATCGTATCGTTTATCAATCATCGCGATAAATTTCTTACCAGGATAATATCTTGATTTATCGTTGTCACCACAAATTCCAATTAATGATGTTTAAAATAAAACCTGAAGCTGCCTTGTATCGTCGGGATTGTTCGTTTTACTATTTTTCTCCACAGTTTGTTCAAATCTGAGCTTCTGCAAAGCTCATATTTGCATGGTGCTCCTACTTACAGGTGAGTATTCATCATATTGTTATTTATAATGATAAGTTTTTTTATAACACTTTTGATATATTATTGTCACCATAAATTCCTATTAAAGATGTTTATTCTATCAACCCCCAAAAACAGTCTGGGATCGTTAGTTTTAGTATTTTCTGTTTGTTGAATAATGGTGTATCAATAAATATCAATAAATATGATTAAATGTAGCTACTTTGTGCTTTTTTACAGGTTTAGATTTCAAAATTGCTTCATCCAACCAAGAAGTTTGTTTCCGATAGGATTTCCGACAGGCATCTGTGGCAAAATTCGAAAATATATTCTGTTTTATTTACATTGTATCAAAAAATGTCATGCTGAAAATAACTTATTCCCTCTCCAATAATCAATTACTGTCTAAATATACCCGGGGTGCACATAATTTTGGGCTTGCAGTCTACATTGCAGTCTACATTCAACAATGGTCCACATGCTCTCTCCAGTTTCCATCGGTGAGTGAGGAAGCCGTCTGAGGGAATGTGATAGCTAGGTGACAAGCAGCGCCCAGTTGGGATTTTCATTTCACACACAGTGTCTGGAGTTTGAACAGATGCAGAACACCGTCTGCTGGGAAGTCCTGCGCTCACGTTCCCCTGCTCTGGGGGATTTAAAGTAGGAGACACCAATCACCTGGACAAGAAAGTCATTTTGGTCACAGCACATTCAGTTTGGTGGGTAATGACAAAAATAAAAAGCACAGTTGAATGTTTTTTAAGCATGTTTTAAAATTATATTATTTTTAATATAGGTTCTGTATAAAATTGTTCAAAAGGAGAAAAACAGAGGGTTATAAAAACACTACCTGTTGAATTAAAGTTCAAACAGTTTTATGCTAAATTATTAAGTTATGATTTAGAAAGAGTTGGGTGGATTTAATTAACGTTATTTCTATCCAAATACAAACAGAAACAATTACATACAGATGTGCAACAAGAGGTCCCGTGAGATTTAGCTATTTGAAAAAGCCAGAATATTTCTGGAGGCGTCTGCCTCACGAAGAGCAGCGTAGCTGCTGTCAGCACTTTGTCCTCTGAAACACTTTGATAGAGTTACAGGTGGACGTTTTTCCTTTAGAGACTCATTTAGAAACAAAAAGGAAATTATTTATGCTGCCTAAACGTATAGGTTTGTCCGTTTACAGTTGTGGGCACCACAAGCTAAACAGTTAGCTGCGCTAACCCTGAAGCGCTAGTCATAAACTTGAGTCAACTGTACGTCCACTACAAGACCTCTATGAGTTAGCTTCCAAGTTCAGAGGTAAGTGACTGACAGGACAATACACAACAAAAGAAATTAAACACTTTGGACACACCACAACTGGCTAACTGTTAACCGCTAACAACGCTAAAGCTCAGCCATTAAACTCAACTCAGTTTGGTTACAACCTGAAGTTGAGATTTGTTGCAATTCCTCCACATTTTGACACATTGACCATGTTCGTTTGCTCTAAATGCTCTATAGCAGGTCAACAATACGACACACTCCAGGAAACAGGCCTGGGTGAACCAGAGAGTGTTATTGATCACATCCTTGGTGATAAAAAGGGGACGGGGGGTTATAATGTACTAGACCAAATGTGTCTCAGCTCTGCAGCACGCCAAAAAGAAAGGAGCAGGAGAGGGCGAAGGAACCCAGGGTGATAAATTAAGCACGGCCGATGAATGGATGATCTATGGCTGAATGATATTGTATGGAAACCCACATGGGGACGTAAAGTTTAAACAGCACACCGCATGTGAAATCTGGGGATCTGTGTATTTTGAAGAAAAATTGAATTTTTTTTATTTTAACAGACATTTTTCAGTGAATGTACATTTAAAAAACAGAATTTGATATCCTGAGAAACATTTACATAAACAGAGAGTTAAAAGTCAACTGGCAATTCAATTTTTACTGTTTTTAACCATCAAAATGAGCATTGTGTCAACTTTTTCCCCTACAACATTATTTATCTTTTTTATTCTACAAGCAGAAATGGAAAATTTTACTTGTCCTATCAAAACATTTTACAATTTCTACTTAGTAGCTCTGATATTCTGTAACCGGCACCAAATATAAAAGAAACTTTAGACAAATGAACTCCAAATTTAACAAAAGATAAATAAATTCCAACAAAACAAACAATAGTGCAAGAATGAAAGAAAGAAAAAATGAAAGACTACAAGAAAGCAAGCAAGAAAGAAGCACAAAAAAGACAGAAAGTGAGAAGGAAAGGAAGAAAAAAAAGAAAAATAAAGAAAGACAGACAGAAGGTTCTCTGTTTTTAATGGCTTTAATGTACATCAAATAGATGCAGAAGCATCTGCTCATTAATTCCTCCAAGATGAAGAAGACAAGTGAAAACGCAGGTGATGTAAGTTCAACGTACAAAAAGATTCACTCAACTGGAAAACGTGGAGAGGCGGGAAAAGAAAAAAAGAAGCTCTGAGCGAGGGCAGCAAATGAGAGAAAATGAGAGAGAAATTAAGACTTCAAGTCGAGGCGGTGGAAATGAGCTACAAATTGCTGCGACGTTGGAGCTCAGAGTCATAAAGAAATCAAAGACGAGAGCCAGCAAAGCTAATGGTGTTTACACGTCGTCTGGAGGAGACGAAAAGAAAATGCCTTCACAAATTCATAAATTAAGACAGGCGCATAACTTCTTCGCAGCCCGCTAAGTAAATATGTGAAATGATGCTCATCATTTCCCCCTCGCCGTCAGCTGAGCCGGAGCAATGACACAGAATACGGTTATCGACATTTTAACAAACGGACAGGAAAAGAATCGATCGGTGGCGAGTTAATCATTTACATCCAGCGGGCAGCGCTCATATTTCACACCATCCGACGATTTACAAAAAGAAAAAAAAGAAATCCACAAAGCAGTTTTGGAATAATCTGTAAGATGCCGTCAGGAGTTTTTCCTTTTAGAGAACAGAACAATTTAGCTAAAGTTTTCAAACCCATGGAACATTTCTCCTTTTTTAAAACATTTTGTCATGTAGAGACCTCAGAGGAGTTTCTTTAAAAAGCTTAAGAAAACAAAGACAACAGTGCGAATAAGTCAGAGAGGAAAAAACCCCATCAAAACAAGCTTTGAACATCTCATAAGAACATTTGTCATGATAAGTTTTTCTGGGCGATAAATCGTTTCAGAGGTTATTGCGATAAATGATAAAACTGTGGCTTTGAAAACCCTTTTGATTATATTCGTAATATAATGCTAATGGAATAATAATAATGCAAACACAGTGACAAAAATTTTAAGCTGGAAATGGAAAACATTTAAACACCCAAGATAAATGAACAAAACATTTGGGTGGCAGGGCAGTCATTCATCCAGCGGCCCGTCGTGTTTTTGAGTTGAAAAATATTAAAAGTTGACAGGAAATTTGAAAATATCACTTGATATTTATGTGTTATTGAAAGATTGAAGATTAATACCTGAACACCAGCTATAAAGTGTTAAAAATGCAAACATTTTATAAAGACTTAAATAAATAAGCAATGCTAAGCCTGGTGGGGGCTCAAGTAAAGCCTGGTGGCCCGCCAGGCTTATAATACATTAATGTGCTAGCATGACCTAGTCATTTGATTTGTGGTTGAAGTGGGACAAAAGTTCAAAGGCTCCGAATGCTTTTCCAAGGCTCTGCTCTGGGAAGCTACGTCAAGGCAGCGAAGGAGTGAAACAACCCGTGACTCTTTCGAAGAAGCAGAAAAGAGAATCCCTCAGGAAATGTTTCACAGTCTGAGCTCATCACCTCAAACGTCTCTGATTCCTAATCTCATAAAAACCCAGATAATGGGGGAGAGAGGAAGCAGAGGTTTCAGGGGTTTCTCTTCCTACCGTCATACTGTGAAATGAATGTGAATGGATGTGACCGTGTGGCTTAACGGGAGTGTGTGTGCGTGTGTGTGTGTGTGTGCGTGCGTGCGTGCGTGCGTGCGTGCGTGTGAGGGAGAGACAATGAGCTCAGTGTTTGAGCCTGCAGTCCAGCGGACTGGCCAACCTTACGCCCCGCACGAGACAGCTGTTCCTCTGCCACATAAACGAGGAAGGGGCAAGGCAGAATGGAGAGAGAGAGAAACAGAATAGAGGGAGGATAAATGAATGGGGTTCAGAGAACAAGCGCTCATTCAGGCAAAAGCTAAGATACAGTCAGGGCAAAGGCAAGAAAAGAAATGGACCGGAGCCCATCTGACTGTTAGCCGGGTGGAAACGTTACTCATGACAAGGATACATTTTAACTAAGAATTATTTAGGAAGCTTATTTGTTATTATGGTTTGTGTGCATACTGAGCTATTTTTAATATCATCACCTTTGTATTAGTTTCTATAATATAATCTCTTCCACACCTGATCGGTTTAAGAAAAACGCTCATCCCGCTGAATCACACTGCTTAGTGTTGTTTTAAACATGTTAAACCCGTAGGGGGCACTGCAGGGCAAAGCTGAAACCTACATCAGCCAATCACAATCCTTCAAACAACTTCCTGTTTGGAATTAAACATGGCATCAAGAGATGCATTTATGTGGACAGACAGAGAGGTTGAGCTACTTTTAAATACCGTGTTAGAATATAAAAGCGTGTGGATGTTGAACGGCATTGTGTCTCGATTGTAAACCTTGTAACCAACCAATCGTTGACCTCCAAGCGGGCTTATAAAAAAATAAAAAACAAGTAAAACGTATGAACGTAAAAATCTGCACCTCTCTGAAGCAGTCATCTTTCCTCCACTAAACAGTAATGTCGTCATGTGATTTTAGCGCCGTGTTATTTGTTGAAGTCTTACAAGTCTTCAACAAATAACAAAAAAATTATGGTAACAAAAAATAAATAACAATATGTAATATGTATGTTACAGGCACAAGTGCGTGTAACATACATAATTTTGTCTTTCTTTACCTTCACACAATATTGTCCCCACTGCCCGTGAGATTTAGTTTTCAGGCAGGTAAGATGTACTTTAGTTATGGGCATTAAACGCAGTTTTAGTCCCGTAGAAAATTCGGAGTGAAGTAACCAAAAATGGCAAAAGTAGAAAATGACGTATAGGACAAAACACATTAATTCATCAATACATAGCTTAGACGACTAATAAGTTAGCCATGATAAAGCCTCCATCCTCTCTGCTTTGACTCAACCGGTCGCTCTGACTCGGTTTGTACAGATTGCGGATGGATGGTGGAATGCCTCCCCGCTTTGACCCCAGGCAGTTTGTTTTCAACCTTCTCTCTGAGTCTCTTCCTGAGTTACACTCACAGATAAATCACCATCTTCCTCTTTTTCTCTCTTCATACAGTTTCTATTTTTCCCCTTCAAGGCACCATCCTTCATCAATTTATCTCTCCATCTTCCTCTTGCTCTGTCTCTCTGTGGGGAATGGCCCAGTAATGCCAGACTAATAAATCATTCATGCCGTATTCCCATCACCCTCCTCTCTTCCTTCTTCTTCCTTCCTTTCTTCCTCCTCATCCTTCACCCTGCCATTCTCCTTTTCCGCCTTACAGTACCGACCAGAATCGCCCCGCCCCGCAGACGGTAATTCACACTCAGACCCGTGAACACGTTGAACATGTTGGGTTCGTCAGCCGGCGTTTCTGGCGCAGTCCTGCGCCGGCTTGGAGGACGTAAAGCGGCGCGTCGTATATGCTGGATGTGGGAGGCAGCGTTGCCTCAGATGCGATGCAAACAGATACGTCAAAGCCCAGACAGGTCACAGCCACAGCAGACAGCCAGAGAGACGGCAACGTGGAGAGAGAGAGAGAAATAAACATGCACAAGGAGAAGGAGCAGAGGAGGAAGGGACGCCTGTGGGGCAAATTAGTGGGATATGTGACACATAGCTGCAGTTATTCAACGGCTTTCACACAAGGATAAGCCGATGGTTTTGGCAGAATGGCAAAACCACCTCATGTTCTGAAACTATGACGGAAAGCTAACCTTATCTCGAGGTGTCCGCTGTTTAGGAGCCTCGTTTGCTGCACTTTTACGGGACTGTAAGTGCCAAGACGACACTTGACAGCTTCCCTGCTGCTTTCCGTCCCATTCGGCAGAAACCGAATAAGTCTGACCAGTCCACTTCCCTGTCACCGCTCATGTCGTCCTGAAGAGCAAACGGGTGGTGCCTTCATTCAGATGTGCATAAAGCGAAAGGTCAACAGCCACCAATACTTCCAAGCACAACGCAAACCAAAGCAACGACGCATGCATGTGCATGACCTGTAAAAATCGCCCTCCGCCCCCAGGGCATCAGATGGCCCTTCATTATGACCCCAACACCCCTCATCTCCTCGCTCCACCCAAACAGCCAACAGCCATCCCTCCCACCATTTGCAAAAAAGTCCCAGCTTCCTTTTCACTCCCTGCAGTGCAACAATCTATCTGCCGGAGACAATAGCCGGCTTTCCATTCACTTGCAAAGCAAATCTGAAGCAATGTTCAGAAGGAGAAAAAGAAAAGGAAAAAGAAAAAGAAACAAAGAAGGAAATGCAAATCCCACTTGTGCGTTAACTGGTTTCAAGCAAATAACATAAACTAGCGCAGCCGCAGGGAGGTGGTAAAGGCTCCACTGGTCGCGGTTGTAACACATTAAAGGAAAACAAAGCTCGAGGAGGAATAAAAATTCCCTCACTGCTGCAGTGGAGATCGTCTAAAGGAATCGCTTTCATCTCTGGAGACATTTGGTCTGTCCCTCCAGTTTATTGGGTACCAGCTCAGAACGTCGAGTCCCACCTTATCCAGACTGGATACAATTTGAATAAGTTGTTTCCAAGACTCTAACCCACACCATTTTTTTTAAACAGATACAGCCTCTTTAATAATTGCTTACTTACAGAGGGTTTCTACAGCTTTATGCTGAGGAACACTAAACTTATACAAGCTTCTCACTCCAACGCATTGTTCTAGAGAGGGAAAGTATTAAAGTACCTTTGTATTAGTAATTTCAGACTGCCAGGGAAGAAACTATTTTCCATTAAATTTTAATGACCATTCGACGACCCAAGTAGAATCAATATGACGTCCTTAGCGCTTCCCTCTCTAACAAAAACATGAAGGACAGACTTGATAGATAACATCTGTGGCAGATTTAGATTGACACTGAATTATTTGGACACCAGAACAGAGGACCAAATAGAGCCATCCAGGAAAAGGAGGTGGAAGACCAACGCACTGGGAACACTTTGCTGAAGGAGGACCTGAAAAGTTCTCCAACACAAAATCCACCATGAATTCCACCGACCTGGAGGAAACCGGTGGACCATTTGTAAACAGTAAGAAAACTGAAGCAAGAACTGGATGGTGCAGCACGACAATGACAAAGAAGCAGAAACATGCTGCAAGAGTCGCCTCAAACTTTCTACTTTTTGTTCAACTTTCCTCAGACTGATTCGGAAGACGGCTACGAGAAGTACATCCATACAATTTGTTTGACGTTCAATGAAAAATACACCAAGACTAAACTCTGAGCAAACACGTTTCTGTGCTGGGTATTACAAGCAGTTTAAATCTCTTAAAGATCTCCTGGAATGCATAGGGGAGCTAAACTGCCCCTTGTAGGTCTTGCGTCGCACATGCAAAGAACGATGTGACACTTGATGATGTGATGATGCGCCATAACGACTAAAAGCATCATCACTGACTTGTGGAAAACGAGGGAGCAGCTGACAGATTGCACTGCGGCAGAACCTGCAGCTCGTAAAATGATTACCAGCACTTCAAACTGCATGGATGAAATATTTCAGTCTGAGCGCTGCTCACATGAGTCGCTCAGCCTTCCTTCTTCGCTGTCACCCTCCATGTCAACCGCTTCTCGTCACACACAACACCTTGTAAAGTGCTGTCTGCAAGCGACGCTGTGATACATCAGTGTCTCGTCTCAGGACACAGGATCTCATGAACCTGATTTTACCAATTAAATAGGGAACACAAATACACTTCTTTATATTGGATGGAGACTTTTTTCTTTTTGCACAATAAATGCGCTACATTCCTCTGGCTTTCTTCTGTAGTCCAAAAATCGGAATATCAGATTAATTGGTCACTAGAAATTAACTTAGAAGTGAGATGCTGTGTGGATCATCCAGTGCGTCCTGGGATGAACTACGGAGACATCCATGGCGTACCCCACCTCTCGCCAAATGATGGTAAGAAAAAGCCAACGATGTTGCTCCTTGAAGGTCTATTTTTGTCATACATTTCACCAGAAACAATAAAGTTCTGAAAGGGACAGATTAGGAGGGGAACACAGCATACAGGGCTGGACACACGGGAGGCGACTTCACTCCCTCTTTACTCATTTCCTTCATAACTTGCACAGTGAGGCGAACATTGCTTGTCCTTTTCCAGAAGAGCGACCAACAAAATTTGTGCATGTGAAATTTAGAGCTTGTACGCGTAGATGTGCACGCTTGTGACGTGACACAAGAAGGTTGAAACATTTTCTATTTTCCCATTAACTGGGACATGATGCTGATGACACAGAGAAAAGTCTAACATTTTTCACCCTTTTTGTGCTGTGTCACATGCACGTCTACGAGCTCAAAATTTTACATGCACAAGTTTCGCTGGTCGCTTGGTTGGAGGACGGTAAATGATTGTTGCCTCATCGTGAAAGTCCTGTAGGAAATCAATAACTATGGATCGACGTTGCCTCCCGTGTGTTGAGCCCTTTAGAACCGCCAACCAGATGCTGCCACTGCGATTTAAGATAAAAGAAAACAACAGGGATATATTTTCAGTGTATTTTGCCTTGAAAATATCTAACCAATAAGCTGAAATCAGTTATTCCTAATCCACAGTGTTAGTCTAAGGACCCCCTGCTGATCCTTGGATCCCAGTTTGGGAACCTCAGACTCACGCTACTTGGCAGTGCCTCCTTCAAGAACAGTACAAGCAAGACACTTATGTGTGTGCCACAGATAGCATGTTCATTTAATGAGTGAATAACATCCCTCCTGCATGTCCAATGAACTGTGGGTTGAGGGATTGGGGCAGAGGCAGGAGGGGGTGACGGTAATACAATAGGAGTGTTAGGGAGTGTGGGAACCAATTCTCCATGGGACAATAGGCACTTCCCAGTGGCCACAGTGTATCCATTCACTACCAGTTGCTGGGCCGGCGTAGCACGGCGCTGAATGTGCACCAGCTCAGCATAATGTTGCTTTCTCCCAAACAAGACCAGACTGTTTCCTATCCCAAAGACAACACGGTCCGGCTCGAACCTACACACAGACCCATTCTCACATAGGCCGTCTCTCCGTGTCGGCGTGTCTCTCCCGCTTTCTGGCACCGACGCTCACACCAACAAGAGAGGAGGAGCGCGACAAGGCCGCGGATTGTGAAGATTGTGGCTGCCTCGTCGTAACTAGGCCATTGTTTCTCCACCGAATGTGGAGAGATATTCTAGGCTGAGATGTTATTAGTGTAACCCAGTTTGCCCATCACCAGGTGACTGCAGGAGGAGGTACGCCCCACAGGGACACAGGCTTTCAAGGACAATGCATGCAGAGTTGAGGGAAGGGGAGGGGAGGTGTGTTGTTGCTGAGGTAAGAGGACTGGGATGGAAGATGCGATTAGTTGAACGCTGCACTCGGGAGAAGCAACCTCTGGACAGTCGCAGGTGTGAAGAACTGGACTTTGCTCCAACCTTTTCTTTTGTGTGCATGCCCTCGGGTTGCTGTAGCAACAGAGTCTGAGAATCCCCCCCACAAAAGAACAAGCTTCGGCGAGGGAATGAGAGTGAGAGTTTCTCAGTGCCTTCACACAGAGAGAGTGAGAGAGAGGCAGAGAGAGAGAGAGAGATGATGGTCATCAGAGGTGATGACATAATTTTGGCTTTCATTTATTTTCCCACACATCCCTGTTTGACTGGAATAGTTAATGTTTAGTTACAAACATTAAACATGTTTGTTTTTCACTAAAAAGTTTACCTAAAAATTTAACGAACCACCTGGAAAAAGTCAGGATCCATGAGAATCACAAGACAATGAAATAAGTTCACACAGCCTATCCATTTCCTTGCTTGTTGTCGGGGGTGACATGCACAGTGATTTCATGGATGCATAAATTAAATTTCCAAATCAACTGACTGGGCCTGACTGGGCCATTCTAACACAAATTATTTACACTGTCATGCTCCACATGTCCTGTATTTATAGTAGAGATGGCATCAAAGCCTTTATTGACCTGACTTTGATTTGATTGGTTGATTACACTGTTGCGTCGTCTTCCACCAGAACAATGTAGGGTTGTTGGAAGGTGAACCTTGACCTCAAATCTTCAACCTGCGAACTCTGACCTGCTTCTCTCTCCCCACAGCTTGATGCTGCCATCAGCACGTTTCCTTTAGTCTTCCTTAACAACAGCTTTCTTCTGCTCATTTTTCCAGAGACAGTAATGATTCTGCATTTCTGAATCATTTGAAGACACTCAGAGATTCCTGAATCACTGAAGCTCAAGGTTTCCAGACAGGAGATGTCAAATTCTTAAAGATTCAATTCAATTCAAAATATAACCGTCGATTCTAATTCATATTCTGGTAATATTCAACGCAAGTCAGTCCACACTTGTACAACTCAATCTGGTGTATGTTCTTATCTTATGTGTTTAATCATTTTTCCAAAAGAAGTCCAAGGTCAGTAGCAAGATGCAGCAATAAAAAAAAATTGTCCCAATAACAATACCCAATGTTAATATTGCTGTTATGCCCAATAATTGATATTTACTGTTAAAATATTTTTCCTACCCTTTTGAAATTGAAAAAAAAAAGACTACACGGTTGACACCACAATCACCATCACATTCCCAACACACTTCCAAAACACAAACGACAACATGGAAATAAATGTTATTTATACTTATTAATTCTACTTATGGGGCTGATATCAATGTGTAGTTGCCTGTAAATTCTGCATCCCGTGGGGGAAACATAGACAATTTTAACTGTCATTGTCCAAAATTACTTTCTGCCCAGTAACAGTTTTCATATTTTTGTAAGAAGTTTGTTTTGCAATATGATCTTCTTGTCCCTCCAACCCAACAAGACGTTGGATAATCTGTCCTGGAGGGATTATTAGCTAACAAACAAAATAAAGAGTCCTGGGGGAACTTGAGGAAATGTGAGGGCATAATGAAAACTATCAGATCTGGAAAAAATAAACAACAACAACATAAAACTAACCTCACATTATCAGGATAAAATCTCAGTCCTGTCATGTAAAGTGATGGAGGGGTTACTTTAGGGCTTTCCGTTTCCATACTTTACAGTCAACATGTATATCAATATTTCTATTGTTTCTTGCGACACACATACTCTGATTTCTGGGTAAGTGGTATGAATACTTTTGCAAGACACTGTAGATGATGTCACTGCTAGTCTATTTAAATTAGGATTGCAGGATTGCTTTAAGCACACTATTCAGGTTTACAGATATAGCTCGATCCTGCCCATATTCATGCATTACAGAGAACATGTTTAAACGAGGTTGAACGTTTTAGTCACTGATCTGATCGCCTTCTCTTGAGCACTATTTTTATGTCAGGTCACTGCAGAGTCCAACACAGAAAGTTCTGACAGAAAACAGTCTGATTCATAATAGTTTTAACCACAGTCCAAGAAACTCATGCTTTCGGATCTGCATTTATCTCTCTACAAAACGTTGTCGGAATGAGCTACAGCTTCCAGAATGCAGTTTACAGCGTGGTGGGCTGCTGGTCACAGTCATAACAAAGCGAATCCTCTTACCTGCATGGAGTCGGCGCTGATTATTTCTCCCTGAAGCCGCTTTCCAATCTCGATTGCCAGCTTGGACTTCCCGGTACCGGTAGCTCCCAGGATCACGACTAAAGACGGGGCCATCGCTCTCCGTAAGACGCACTGCACGCTCAGAGTGGAGGCCGCCATGATGCCGTTTCCTCCCGCTGCCCAGCTGACACCCTCGCGCGTGCGCAGAAGCGGGATATGGTTTACGAGACAGCTGGGCTGCCGTTGCTATGGTGACACGGTTAATTGGCGATTATTCGCGGCTGCCGGCGTGTTTTACATTTCATTATTCAGTGTTATCTGTTTATTATCATTTTGACATTTCAGTCGGTTACACTCCACTGTTAGATTTGTGACAGGTTTTTTTTTTTTTTTTCTAGTTTGAAGTAACAGGATGTTCACCGCCTCGAGGAAGGATTAGCGCGTGTTTGTTTACAATGCTTTTCGGGGACATTTTCGGCACAGCTGGCGTGGTTTCTATGGAAACTATCGATGCTGGTGCTGCTGCTGCAGTGATAAGGTCTGACGCTTGTTGCCATGGCAAAAGATGCTTGGAGGTTGCTTTGGAGACTGCTGGAAAACAAAAGTGGATCGGGAGATGGAGCTGAACATAAAAAAACGCTAATAGATAACAGCCAGTCACTGGATCAGGCACACAAATTCAAACACTTGGCTTTTAATCTTTCGGTATTGATTTTTATTTATTTTATTTTTTTTATCTAATGCTTGATTTCATCACATACAAAGACAGTAACAATACACAAAGGACTGTGCTCCCTGATTGGTTTTGTAGCAGTGCAATTCTTAACTTTTATTTTGCTTTCTTATTCTCATTCTTTCCCTTTTTATTTTCTGCTAATTTAAACTACAAAGAATTTTGCTTCCAGATTCTCAACCATTTAACTAGAGCAGTGTTTCTCAACCCTGGTCCTCAGCGCCCCCCTGCTCTGCATGTTTTAGATGAGCCTCTATTCCAGAACAGCTGATTCAAATGATTGCATGACCATCAAGTACTGCAGAAGCCTGTTAATCACCCAGAGATACAATTCAGGTGAAGGGAAATACCTAAAACATGCAGGACAGGGGGGCGGTGAGGACCAGGGTTGAGAAACACTGAACTAGAGCAACCCTAATGTGGGAAATATCTCCCTAATCCAGCTCAGAATGCAACCTTAGCGATCCAACGTAGAAACCAGACAATCAGTTAGGCCATGGAAACTGATGTGAAAACATGATTTTATTTTTATTTACCACACTGGCTCATGAGATACTAAGACAAAAAAAAAGGCCTTCCCAGTTGTTGCACCAAATCTTGAGTTATGATTCCACTCAGGGAAGTTTTTTTTTTCTTTCTTTCTGTTAATGTAGAACTGAGGGAACTGAAAACATTATCGGAAAGTCACAGCTTTCTCTACACCTACCTTGCAAGAGCCTACATGGTGAAAATAAGAGTTCATAGTGTTTTTCAGTCTCTCTCTAGGAAAAGTCAAGAAGCATAGATTTTGATTCCTCAAAACTCAAGATCACCCAAATTAATGCAAGTTTGCTAAAGGTGGAAAGTTGGTTCTAGGACAATTTCCTTTGCCGTCACTTAGTTTGACCTGAAGCCATCTTGTCTTGAAGTTGTTTGAAGGTTCGTCAAAAGTCAGTTTGGTTTGCAGGTGATTGGACAAAGTATATTTTGTCAGATGACCAAAAGGGCATGAGGTGAATAGGTGAGTTTGTTTGGTGTGATGATGCTGACCATCGGATGTCACTTGGTCTGAAGACTTTCAAGGTGAGTGGTCCCAATCTATTTGGTCTAAGAACCTGATTATCAGGTTAACAGAAACTGATTAACAGAAAAATGATAATCAGGTTCCTAAGACCTGATTATTTTTGTCTGTGGTCCAATGCTTTTCCTGAAACCTCTGGATACTAAAACAGAAACCATACAACAGATCCTCTTGGGTTCCCATCCTGTTCATTTCAGAATACCAAATCACTATCAGAAAGCAGAAAACGCACAGCCATTTTAAGTAATAGATAGCTGCGTTTGCATTAAATACAAAAATATTAATCAGCTCTTGCCAAAACACAAACTTGTAGAAAAATATAATAGAAAACTTATTTTGTTTGACTTGTACAAGGAAACTCCAGACAGAAACATAATCCAACTATGAAGCTCAGCAATGAAAAGGAAAAACAAAAATATAGTGACAAAGTGGTGTTTTATTTCAACAGGTTTTTTTCCTCCTTTAGAATTTTAATAACAAAAATAGAAGTTTTGAGTAATCTCTGAAAAGCCAGCAAGCCCTACAGAAACTGGGATGAGTAAACTTAGACAGCTCAGGTTTTGGTTTCACTGTACAGTCAAGGATCTAAAAACAGAACATCCAACTGGATAGCCTACATACATAGACAGGCTCCTAAAGGCATTCCATCAAACAGATTAACAAAAAAAAAAAAAAAAAAAAAAAAAAAAAAAAAAAAAAAATGATACAGGGGGAACCCCTGATTTTAAAAAAAAAAAAAAAAAAAAAAAGTTTTAAACAAAATTTTAAACC